AAAAAAAAAAAAGAATTTACTAAGACAAAGGTTAGTTTAGGTATGGGACCAATTTTATACCGTTAAGGGCACACAAATATTCTGCTCAAAATTAATATCTATCCCGACCATTATTTTTAAATATTTACAGTTGATATTAAGAATGGGCCTATTTCAAACTGATTTTCCTATAAGGGATATATTCAGATTAAGATCAGAAATAAGTGTCCAGGAGTGTCCTTCAAGCGCAGACTATTTAAAATATTTAAACTTACCTTTAAGGGGACAAGATGGGGGAAGAGTCTTGGGAAAGGAGATGGAGGGTAAGGAAAAGACGAAGACTACAGATAAGTGAATAATTCCGTTCGTATAGTGACATCACAGAGGAGTTTTGTGTGTTGAAGACCAGTCGGGAACTGAGCCAATATTTATCGCCCTTACCACCCATAAATTTAAAACTGACTACATATCCCTACATTTCCTCTTCAAAAAAATCACTCCTCTAAATTAGCAATTTGGGACTCTAATACGGGCCCTGATCTATTTCTTCAGGTCTACAAATGTTCTGTGTGTCTACGAACCACTATTAAATTTCCACAGGCACCAGGCGCCCACGTTGGGTAACTTGATGCTTACAAAGCGCATTAAACTCAGTTGCAAGTGTTATACGGACACTTGTTTTCCAACGGAGACGCTCCCAAAGGATCGCACCCGCCTACGTCATAAGAAACGTGAAAATCCAAAAACTAACACAATTCCAGGGCAGAGAAACGATGCAAACAGTTCTGTTATCTTCCGAATGTACTGGTCCCGGACATCTAAATGTCCTGGGCTCCCGGAAACCAGGTCAGAATGCCTCCAGCCGGAGAAGCTGGGTAGTCAGCCAATCAGAGAGCCGCTTTCTTCTTATTATTTCTATTGGACTAGAAAAGTGTCAATCGACGAGGCATCTTTCGCGTAATGAGGCGGGCTCTCAACACCCAACCAATTAGGTATTGTACCGGAGCGGAAAAAACTCTGGTCCTGGAGTTCTTTGGTGCTCTCTATGGTTCCAGGGCCTAGCAACGCTGAGACCGCCGGCGGAGGGGACAGGAAATGACGTAGAGATTGCGGAGGGGCGCGAGGTTTCAAGATGGCGGTGGCTGGTTGGTTGACCGAGAGGCTGACTGAAAGGCCCTAGAAAGTAAAAGAGGCTGGGAGTCGCCCCCTCCCTGCTTCTCACAGCTCTGGGAGCCCAGCATAAGTGTAAGTGTGCGGAATTGCTTCACTCTGCTTCTTCATCTCTCTCGTCCCTTCCCGGAGCCTGCGCGGTTGCCTTGGGGACACCAGGCCTCTTTACCCTGCTCTTCCTCTCCCCGGTTGAGGTCTCCGGGATCGCGGACTGGGGTATCCCTGAGCCTGGGGCGGCGTGGCTTCCAGTGGTTACGCGACAGACTTCGCCCGGGTCGGTTAGGACCGTCTCCTATGCACGTTGGGTGGTAGCCTTGGGTTTGACGTCCTGTACCTCGAGTCAGGGTCAACCGTCGTTATGGTTTCGGCAGTTGCTGCTGTCGCCTCCTTTCGTGGACCTGGACCCTGTCCCATTGAAGCTTCTTTGGCTGTTTAGAGTTCCCCAACGGTTTTTTGGCTTGATTTTCCACTCGCCTCTGCTTTTAGACAAAGAAGTAGCTTGCGTAGACTAGGGCTCCAGTGTCTTCTGTAAAATTCTGTGTAATTTGTATCTGTTCTGTGTTTCCGTTGTGAGGGAAGGGTCAAAATACGAGGAGAACTGAGAAAGGAAAGCACAAAAGACACAGGCAATCAAAGATTCGAGAGCATGTATTTGTACTGATTTTGCTTGTTCCCACCCTTCTTTACCCCGTACTCCCTTCTCCCCACCCCCTAGTTTTTCTGAGAAGGAAGCACTTGACAAAGTAAAATACAGTAACAGCCCGTGGAACAACTCTGAAACATATAGCTGAAGTCGGGCCAGTTGAACACTTGGTGAAAGATACATTAATAAACTCGTCTGACAAAATCTTCATAAAAGGGAGAAGGAAAAGTATACTTGTATGGTCTACCAAAAGATTTACTTTGTAATCTTCCCTTCCCACCTTTTAAAAAGCGTCTGCTGGCCAGGCGCGGTGGCTCACGCCTGGAATCGTAGCACTCTGGGAGGCCGAGGCGGGCGGATCATTTGAGCTCAGGAGTTCGATACCAGCCTGAGCAAGAGCGAGACCCCGTCTCTACTAAAAAGAAAAAAATAGAAAGAAATTATCTGGACAACTAAAAATATATAGAAAAAATTGGCCAGGCATGGTGGCGCATGCCTGTAGTCCCAGCTACTCAGGAGGCTCAGGCAGGAGGATCGCTTGAGCCCAGGAGTTTGAGGTTGCTGTGAGCTAGGCTAACGCCACGGCACTCACTCTAGCCAGGGCAACAGAGTGAGACTCTGTCTAAATAAAGAAATAGATAGATAGATAGATAGATAGATAGAAAGTCTGCTTTCAAAAGGAAACAAATTTGTCACCTTTTATTATGGGAAGGACTGGGTTTCAAAAAGTTAAACCTTCTTCCTTTGGAGTAAGAGGAAGAAGTCATGTAATAATGTACTATGTTAAGAAGTTTTAGCTTACAAAATATTTTGCCTTAAACATGATTATTCCTTTTAGTTACCTCAAAAAATACAAATCAGGAGTTAAGTAAGTACTAGTAAGAAAAATATATATCTTAATATTAAAAGTTTTGGGGAGCTCTCTTAATATGGTTCTAATTTTGAATATTGACATTTTTAGTTAATGTTTTGAGCCTTTGAGATTCAGGAATTATATCTGACTTAGAATAAAATATGGTTAAATTAATGAGTTTTTACTGTCTCAGAGGTGTTGGGAATGTACAGCATACATGCCAAGTAAAAACCATGGAGAGAAGCAAGGATGGGCTGCTTGTCTTTGAGCCCATATCCGTTACCCACACTCCCTTTTTATTCATCTTTTACTCTGCATGTAAAGAAAGGGGGAATGTAGAAAAAGGACTAATGGCTTGTCCTGTTTATGGTTTGTGCCCTACTGTTAAAAAGCATTTTTTAGTTGATTTTTTCATTTGACAGAGTCAGTGCTGTGATCCCGTAAGAAAAAACTTAAATGGATGATTCAATGATATTTAAAGTGATCTTCATACCTGTTATATTTCTAAAGAATAATAGAGATCTAATTTTTTAAGGTCAAGAAAGTTGAGGCCCTCTATCTTGGATACTAAGGTCAAAACTAAGGAAAGAAGCCAGGCACAGTGGTACACAGCTGTAATCTCAGCTACTTGAGAGGCCAAGGTGGGAGGATGGCTTGAGATCAGCATGAGCAACATAGTGAGACCCCATCTCAGAAAAAAAGAAGGAAAAAAAAACACCTAAGGAAAGAACAGGGTCTCACAAAATCAAGAATTAATGGAATGTTTCTTTTCATAAGATTGGTAGAGACTCTAAAAAGGAAGAAATGTTATAAATATAAGAGACATAAGCTATTTCTTCATCTTCCCAGGTTTTTTTTTTCTCTTAATGAACAAGTAAACCACACAGATTGTCAACATGGGACGGAGATCTACATCATCCACCAAGAGTGGAAAATTCATGAACCCTACAGACCAAGCTCGTAAGTGTCCATTAGTGTGGAATGATGAAGTAGAAGAGTATTAAAAATTGTAAATACTAGGGAATCTATTTCATTGTGCTTAATTAATTATAAGATCAGTAGTGATAGGAAGAGTAAATTGTATAAAGTTATCCAATGTTCTTGTGGGCACATGATTAAAGCTTTAAACATGGGAAGAAATTAGTACTCTTATTTTTTAAGTTTGATTGACTTGAAAAGTGGAATTGGCTTAAAGCTTTCTTTTGTGTCTGGAATTTTGAACAAATTAGTTTTATAAGCTCTTGTTTAGTATTTGATGTTATCTTTTTCCTTCTGGTTCATAGTTATTTTTGAAGAAATATAAAAATGTTTGGATATTTTTGGTTGTCGTGATTAGAGGGATGTAGGTAGCATCTAAGGGGTAGAAAGGCCAAGGATGCTGCTGAATATTATCTATGTTTAAGTTGGAGAAAATGCTAATGTTCAAGATTTGAAAGTTTTATTATCTCTCCCCCTCTCCCTTTTAAGGAAAGGAAGCCCGGAAAAGAGAA